AAAAAAAAAAAAAAAAAAGAAAAATCAACAGTCTTTCTTTCTTTCTTTTTTTTTTAATAAGGCAGAAGTCATAGGTATAATAATGTGTGTTCATTCTGTACTTACGGTGTTAAATTAACCTTTTCCCATTTGTGATTCTTCTAGTTGCAGTCGCCAATACCTATGCCTGTAAAGGGCTGGACAGAATTGAGGAGAGACTGCCTATCCTGAGTCAGCCATCAACTCAGGTGAGTATGGGGTAAAAGTACTGCAGCTTGACAACCTCACATATGTTTTTACCTATTAGTGCAGCCTGTGCACGCCACAAATTGGCAAATACTTACTTTGTTCCCTCAATGTGGATCTGGTTGTATGTTTGAAAGAGTAATGGCCACTCTGTTACTTCCTGAGCTGCTTTTTAGATAAAACCAGACAACAATATAACCACTGTTCATAGGACTGGGAGTTCAAGCTTGTCTTAGTTGGAAACCCTTTACAAAAAATCTATATATTGGTGGCACCTGTGGCTCAAAGGAGTAGGGTGCCAGCCCCATATACCAGAGGTGGCGGGTTCAAACCCAACCCCAGCCAAAAACTACAAAAAAAAATTTTACCTTAGAATTGAAAGCAACAATGTACCCTTATATTAATTTGGAAGTCTTCCTAATGCTTCAGTGTATTTTCATTGTTACAAAGGGGTCACGACCTACAGGTTGAGAACCGCTGCCCTAGAGGAAATCTTTTATGTCTTCTTCCTCTCCCTCACCCTCCCCCCTACTCCAGTATAAAAGTAGAACTGAGTTAGTTTAGTTGGACTGGGAGCCTGGACCATTATCTCTCAATCAGCTTCACCCTTGTTTCCCTTGCAGCAACCCAGAACTCACTAATAGTTGGTTTATTTCCCTACTATCAGTGGTTTTGTTTTGTTTTGTTTTGAGACAGTCCCACTTTCTTGGCCCCGGTAGAGTGCTGTGGCATCGTAGCTTACAGTAACGTCAGACTCTTGGTCTCAAGTGATTCTCTTGCCTCAGCCTCCTGAGTAGCTGGGATTACAGATGCCTGCCACAAAGCCCATCTATTTTTAGAGACAGGGATCTCACTCTTGCTCAGGCCGGTCTTGAACCCATGAGCTCAGGAAATCCACCTACTTTGCAGAGTGCTCGGATTATAGGCGTGAGCCACTGTGCCCAGCTTTCTAATATCAATCTTCTGTTGTAAAAACACTCATATAATTTTTGAGGGGAACTGGAGTCAGTTAAGCATGCAAAGATATAATTGTGTTGCATAGGCACAAAAGGAGAGAATCTTTTGTATTAGTTTGTATCTTCTCTTTCATGCTTGAGCAAAATGGGGGAAAGGGCTGGCTGTTCCCATAGGCTACCTTTGGGTATTGTGAGTGGAGCTTGGGCAGGCTGGTGATTGGGACATCTTTACATAAGTGACAGATACCTGAGAGCACATCCAGTGTGGTGGATAACTGACATCCCTCTCTAAGTGTTGGCCTTTTGGGACTGTGTGCGGTAAAGCGCTAGATGTACCTGGTGTCTGTGTCTGTACCTATGGGCGGGCACAATCTATTCAATATAAGCACGCCAACATGGAAACACCCATTCTAGAGTACTCCCAATATATCACCAAAAGTTCATCTTGTTACAAAACAAAGACTTACTGCCTGATGAATTGACAGATTTCATGTCCATTTATCTCATTTGCTTCTCCCACAGTCTTTGAGGAGGCAGGGAAATTCAGGCTCATCATACCTAAGTGACTTGCCCAAGTCTTAAACCTTGAGAGTGAAAGAACCAGATTCCTTCTTTTCAGCTGTGCTGCCTTAGTTCAGATCTCAGATACGTGTTTTTGTTTGTTTTCTCACCCGCCAAATGGTCTGCTCATCCTCTTGCAGGTTGTTGCTAATGCCAAAGGTGCAGTGACTGGGGTGAAGGATGCTGTGACAACTTCTGTGACTGGGGCCAAGGATTCTGTGGCCAGCACAATCACAGGGGTGATGGATAAGACCAAAGGAGCAGTGACTGGCAGTGTGGAGAAGACCAAGTCCGTTGTCAATGGCAGCATCAACACAGTCTTGGGGAGTCGGGTGATGCAGCTTGTGAGCAGTGGGGTAGAAAGTGCGCTCACCAAATCAGAGCTGCTGGTGGACCAGTACCTCCCTTTCACTCAAGAAGAACTAGGTAATTGGAATTTTGTCTTGAAGCTGTCACCCTGGGTAGGTGCCGTGGCATCACAGCTCACAGCAACCTCCAACTCCTAGGCTCAAGCAATTCTGCCTCTAGTAGCAAGGGACTACAGGCACCTGGCTATTTTTTGGTTGCAGCTGTCATTGTTGTTTGGCGAGTCTGGGCTCAGGTGTATGTGGCTGGTGCCTTAGCCTCTTGAGCCTCAGGCACCGAGCTGAAAGAATGTTCTATGTCTCAGACTAATCTTTCTTTCAACAGCTTCATTGAGATATAATTGCCTCCAGTCTATAGTTACGGGATTGTGCAACCATCTCTATAATCCAGTTTTATTTTATTTTTTTGAGACAGAGACTCAAGCTGTTGCCCTGGGTGAAGTGCTGTGGCATCACAGCTCACAGCAACCTCCAACTCCTGGGCTTAAGCAAGTCTCCTGGGAGTCTCCGCCTCCCAAGTAGCTGGACTACAGGC